TGTTTTTAAGCTCTTATCTCGCTTCTAAATCTTTCACATAGCATCAACTGCTTAACAACTAGCATAAAAATAGATTGCGTATTTTAAGAACCTCACAATATCAAATTTAATTGCTATTACCATTTTCACGGTAAACATTGTTTCTTCTGAGTTTCCCCCCGGTAATGGTGTTAACGATTCTTGGTGCCGTTTGATTTATATGGATGTTGGGAGGGACTCGAACTCCACTATTTGAATTATTTGAAGCCTTCGCTATTGCTTGTTGAAGCTTAGTCATTATCCGATCTTGTCTTGAGAGATGGTCCATAATTTTTCCTTGTTGTGCTCTCAACATTTTCAGGGTAACAGCCACCGGCTCACCATCCATATCATCAGGGGTAGGACTCCTCTCATGTCGAATCTCTCTTTCTAACCAGGTAGGAGTTGACTCATTCCTATCAAGACGGGTTTTACTAGTTGAACCATCATGTTGATTTCCATCATGGAGATTATCCATGGGCTCATTGTTGCAGTTTGTTCAACATTGAACGAGTTGTTGATATCATTGTGTTCCATAATGGTAATATGCTTAAAACAGAAAAAACCTCTACAACACGTTAGTATAAGATGAACAGATCAAAATAACACCACAATTGTCTATGCCCCGCGGTGGGCGCCAAACTGTTTACCGGAAAAACGGTACAGCTGAATTTGTATCGTAGTTTATAGACACGTGGAATTGATCCGATAAAATAAAGTAATGAAGAACAAAGTGATTAAAATAAGAATAATTGAAGAAAATACAAGTATGGGCTTTAGAATATTCTCACCGGGATCAAGTAGATAACCCTTATAAAAAAAAAGCTTGAGAGAAAGAATACTAATTTTTGCTAACAGTATTTCTTTATGATTTACAATAGAATGAAAGCCTCTATTTATACTAGAGTTATGGGATGTTTGACCAACCAATTATGCCCCATTGATTACAAATATTAATGCTACAATAAAAGGTAATAAAAAGGTAATAGAGGACAATAAAGACTAATAAAGGCGGGAGGAATCTTTGGATCTTCTGTAACGTTTCTGCAACGGCCGTATCTTGAATTGCATCTTATCCAGCCACAAGTGTGTATCTGGTGTGAACATGGTTGGTTGAATCACTGTTGATTGACACGTGTTGCTTCCTAATTCATTTATCTTCGGAGACCAGTTTTCATCCTATACAGTGACATCACTTAAAAATAATACGAAAATTTTAAAACTACCAGAGTCATAGATCTAAACCCATTTATAAGCCAAATAATGGAACTACACTTTGGAGTAAGGGAATAAGAAGGTAGGGTGTGTAATCACACTTGACTGAAGAAAGACATGAGATCCGAACTGCATTTAGGTTGTGGCCTAAGCTTGAGCTGCTTGCGAGACGTCACTTCACATGGTCTTCCTCCGTTTGTCTCCTTCATGTCTTATTAGTCGTTCTCTTTCTAAAATTGGGAAGAAACGTAAATCAATCAAGAGCTTGGATAATCATGTCAAACGAATATGTGTATACACTCCTTATGTCCTAATTCACGAGGCACACTTTCTTTTCTCAGTCTGTCCAAAAGATAGAGAACATGAGCTGCACTTTGCTCACTCTAAACTATGGAAGGGATTGGCAGATATTATGTTCTAGGATTAACAAAACTACCCTCCTAAAATTAAGTCTTTCTCTTGTTCTCTGAAACTTCTTTAAATATTGAGTATTTAACCAAACATTTGAAATAATGCAAATATCTTGAGCCAAGATACAAAGAAAAAGTGAGAGAAGAAGAATATAAAAAGCAAGCATTTTCTCCTTTCAATCCATAGAATTGATATTAGTTTCATTCTCCATTATGTTTGAAGTCAAGCTAGACATATATGCTTCACCCTTCTCCATATTATCTATACCTAAGGCGCTAATTTTGCGATTGGTATATAAGCAACAAGCAATTGTAGGATTGAACAAAACGCTAGAAGAAGAAAGCTAGAGGTAGAGGAAGAAGGAAGCAAAAAAGGGAATAGAGAAATTGCGAAAGGAAAGAAACGAAAATATGAGAGAGAAAGCAGATTTCTCCAATATTCTCCATATGTTGCGTGCCAGAAGGATCATGAAACAACTTAAAAAGTTGCAAGCTGACATCAATCTTCTAGCTAGGCATGAGGGTTTTATTACCGGAAAAGGGCCACAATTGCCCCTAAACTATTGGATATAGAGCAATTATGTCCTTTGTTAGATTTTGGTACCAAAAATATACTTACCGTTAAATATTGGATCACTTATACCCCTAAAAACTAACTAAGCTCCAGCTCAGATTTACAACATTAATTTTTTTTTTTTTTTTGACTCCACCTTCCACTCAACTTTCAAACACCCACAACGTGAAAGTAACTCTTTATCTTCTGCCTAATACTTCCAATGGGGAAATCATCTTATGGACATAGAACCTTCAAAACAAGAAAATCATTCAGTAAAAAGATATTGTATAGATTGCAAGTCCATTAAATTCATAGTCATTCTTGGGGATAAGCTCATCTTTTTTTGGTCTCAAATATCATAAACATAAAACAGTAAAGTCTATTGTTTACAAGAGATCACTACGAATGACAACTTTTCGAACACAGTGATAACCAAGTACTGTAGCTCCATAATAAAAATTATAAACCAAGTATTTCATATGAGAAATACAGAAATCAACAAGAAGTGTACTAACAATCCAAACAAGAACGCAAAAAGTTTCCTACTTCTTGTTGCATGTTGCACAGCAGAGGAACTGCAACATTTTGATAACAAAATCGGGGGTCTTTTTAAAACCAAACCTGTCGTTTAGGGGGATAGGCTCTTATGTGAACTTCACCATGAATCACTTAATTATCGAGTGGAAAATTGATAACGACGCACCAAATTAAAATCCGCTTGACCACTCGCCACTCGAGTTGGCCATCGCACTCCCTCTTCTCTGCAATGTTGTCACCAAACATAACCATCGGCGCCATCGACTTCCATACCTTGACCATCGCACAAATTCTCTCTCTACCATCATCGATTTTATCTCTCTCCATATCCAAGTTCTTCTGGCCTTTGCCAAAAATATTATCACCAGCAGCCCTGGCGGTCCTGATTAGGAGAATGGAACGGATCTGCTTGTAATGGTTTTAATGTGTTGTTCATCCTTCAATACGGTGGAGTGTGTGTGGTCTCTATTGTGTTCTCTATTTATGGGTTTATTAAGGAGATGGTAGCTGTGTGTTTTGGGACGGTGGTGTAGCGGCAACGATGGAGGTAGTGTAGTAGGTATGGAATGCTTAGCCCCTGCTCGGTCTAGCCCTTAACACTTCACTTTGAAATGTCAAATATTTCATCCGAGCTGGACTTCCACGTAAACATAAACATAATTTTTTTAATGTGTCAAATTTGAGCTGGAGCTCTGTTTGTTTTTAGGGGTATAAGTGGTCCAGTAATTTAACGGTAAGGATATATTTGGTACCAAAATTAAATGGAGAGCATATTTGCTCTATAATCAATAGTTTAAGGACAATTTTGAACCTTTTCCATTATTACAACGAGTGCCTAGAGACTAGACTCTGACTAAAGTGCTAATGCAAAACGTGGGCTACTTTTTAAATATAGCTACTTCAAATTCTTCTAACTACTGCCAATAACATTCCACTCCCCCATAAGCATCTTGCGCTGGAGGTTGAGAATTTGATTAAGTCTGTGACAATCACTTTGAACCAAACGATATTGCTCCATGAAGATGCATAGGACCCAGAGAAGCCCTAGCTTAAAATCACAAAGAAACGAAGTAACACAATCATGTCGTTGGCTACATCTATTAAACGTCCTAAAAACTTGCTAATTGCTCTTAACGCAGACCAGGTATACAAGCCTGACCTAATGGTGGCAAAATGGATAACAAAAACAGTTATCCATCCATATTATCCACTAAAAAATATGTTGGATAATGAACTTTTTTAAAATGGGTTAAAATGGATAACCAATATATTTAACTTTTATATTTGTAAAGACTCAAATTAGAGGTCCCTCAAGTTTGGGACTAAGAATTCTCCAAAAAGTGATCATATTCAAGAAGCCATGAATAATATGGATAACCATATTATTTGCCGGTTAATCCATTTTCTATTTCTATTAAATATGGACCAGGTTGAATATTTTATCCGTTTTTACATTATCCATTTTGCACCCGTCCATATATCCGACCCAATTGCCCGTTTGCTACCCCCTAGTCTGACCAAATCACATCTGCCATAAAAGAATGTTTAAAGCTGGCAAAAAAATTGCTTTTAAATCTCCTGTGAAGATTAGTCAATAACCCAAGAGGTATAAGAATATTGGGATTGACCACTGGATAGTAGCTACAATTTCAAATAAAAAATAAGCCACTAATTCCGTAGTCAGAGACATCGGCTAGAGCTTATAGCAATGGATCTATCTGGAACTAGAGTCATTTTCACAACAACAAAAAAAAAAAACCACTATGAAATTGAAAAGAACATTAGAGGCGGCAGCTCTCTTCCTGTCTTCCATCCTAAAGATCTTTAAGCAATAAGTGGGGACCAGTTCAATTTTTTTGTACAACAACGTTTCCAGTCCGCCCCATCACATCTTTCACGAAAAAACTACAAGGATGGCTTCTATGCTACATGCCCCTATCGAGAAAAAGATCTCCCAGACTGGGTGGGGCCGTGGGGGAGGGACGGGTAATGGCTCTGTCTTCCTCTTTTCTTATTCAAAATCCTTCTGCCTTTTAAAGAAGATAAAGAAGTGACTAATAGTAGAAATGGCATTTCCACAATAAATGCAAATCCCAATAGATGTGAACTAATGCAAATGCCACCACATGAAAATTTGATCCAGATGAATAGCGACAGAATCAGATAATAAATTTAGCTGACAGCAGTGCCCTAATTCCATGCAAGTGTAAGTTTTGTTGTATCCCCGAGTTTAATAACATGGAAGTGAAGAACAGAGATGTCCATTAACTTTATACTCACTCTCAGCTTCATAAAAGTGCAAAACAAACCTTCCAAACCACGCAAAACCTCCACCTCCTCAGCACCCCCCTCCCCCTACCACCACACAGGAGAGAGAGAGAGAGAGAGAGAGAATCAGGATCAGTAACCTATTCATTACAAGATATTTTACAATATTCACATATGAATGTAACATTACAGAAAATCGGGAGCAGACCTTTCGTACTCTTCTCTCCAGTGTAATGTTGATTTGACACTGACATATCTGTTACTGGCTATAATTCCTTTTACTTTGGAAAAAGTTATATCAACCTGAAAGTAAGCTAAATATATCAGTACTTCCGCTTCAAAAATGTCTCCGCATGCGTTTCAGACATGTATCATTCAGGATAGCATGACTTGTTTCACGTTAGTGGTTGGAGTTCTTGTTCGCGCACGACGGTCTCAACACGTTCATATGGAAGAGGCGATCCTTGCCTCCGCCTCCATATCAACAATCCTAACAAAGCTGATAATCCAAGTATCAACACAACTGAAAATGCTATGACAACGATCAAGTAACTTTGCTGCCATCCAGTCCTATATCATTGCAACAAAACAACGGTAAAGAAGACCTTATATCACATGAATCAATCTTTAAAGTGGAATGAGTTGTGGGCACAGGATAGCAAAGATTTGACCCTTCTAGGCTTCTAGCGCTATCTTTCTTTCAGTCAAAATAACAAGCAATTGTGAGCACCTGTGCTAAATGATTTCCCCTTTTTATCAAAGAATAAAATAAGTTGCAGTTTATGTAAGAGATGCTTTAAAGAACAAAAGGGTGCATGTCAAGTTCCCATATAGGAATACCACAGATGAGGAAAGAAGTGACACTGAAATCTTAGCCATAGCTTATTTACTATCTTCTACTTAGCCTTTATTATTCTGTCAACATGATGCTGATGTTCCATTGCAGCACCGTGGGGGACAGTAAGACCTCATTTGTTTGCACTTAATGGAGGTCTGAATCTTAGTAATTCAGATCTCAGTCATTAAGTACATTTATTTTTTAGATATGAATTTTAATTATTAAGATCTTAACCATTAAATCTGTTTTTTAAATTTTACAACCACTTAATGGGTCTGAATAGATCTTAGTGATTAAGATCTATAACATAGTCTTAATATCATTAAGATGTTACACATTCAAGAATTTATGTAAAAAAATGACATTTCACCATAACTCCTTCACTTTCGCCACTAACCACCACCCCCAGCCACATCCACCATCGCTGTCAAGCATGAATGTTAGTTGTCACCACCACTAGCCATCATTTACAACTATCACCACCAATCACTATTATCACAACAACCATCGATCACCACTGTCATCCACCTACTATATATCACCCATCGCAGTTATCAGTCACCACCACCATCAATCACCACTGTTAACTACTTCTATTATCCACCATCTACTACCCATAATCACTACCATCAACCAACACCAACACCAGCTACTACCCAGTCGGCACCCACAACCACAACCTTTAGCCATCACCACCACCAACCACCATATAATTTTTAAAATATTTTACTAATAAACTACTAAATTAATTAGTATTATTGGATTGAATTTATATTTATTAATATTTAAATAAAAAAAAAAATTTATACATTCAGATGTATAGAGAAAACAAACAGTCATAATTATTCAGTATTCAGATCTTAATATAACATCTTAATATTCATATGTGAATTCAGATTCAGGAGTTTTAATCTTATTACACATTAATATTCAGAAGTGTATTCAGATTCAGACGTCTTAATCCTAATAAAAACAAATGAGGCCTAAAAATACTAGACGGATGTTCTGTCAATTAATTACACGAATTCATGTCCTTCCAGGTACTACAGATAAAGAGATAAAGACAACTTGCTGAAGAACTCCAGTACCTGCTCAACACATAGGAAACTCTAGTTCTCGTCAACATACTGGAGACAAATAGAAGGTCAAGTAGCCAAGCAGCGAAGAATATGTCTTCTCCGCATTAACAGAAATCTTTAAAATAGCAATGCACAGTAGTTAACATGTACTCATTTTATGAGATGAGTATTTATCAATACAAAATGAAGAAATGGACAATAAAGTGACATCAAATACAAGAAAAAAGAAAAAGAGAGGGAACTCCAAACAACAAGTCATGCCCTCAACATGTACTTTTTCAAATCGAATTTGGTGACTTCTCCGGATTAACAGAAATCTTTAGAATAGCAACTCAAGCAACAGTTAGCATGAAGAATTGGACAAGAAAGTGACATCACAAAAAAAAAAAAAAGAGAGAGAGAGAGAGAGAACTCCAAACAACAAGTCATGCCCTCAACATGTACTTTTTCAAATCGAATTTGGTGGCTTTCGTTGCAGTGTTTTCCAATTGGAAAGCGCAAAAAAAAAAAAAAACAAGGTACATGGGAATGAAGCAAAAAACGAGAAGTGAAGAGCGTGCTTCTTCGAAATGAAAACCCAACTTACGAAAATTAAGAAAATACCAAATTAATATGAATTTGGTACTACAAGAATCATATTGCAATTAATCTGATTTCAACATCTAATAAAATAGTGACATTAATCCAACACCATAAAGTTGAGATTTAAGAACCAAACACTTCATGTTTGGATCAAACCAGCCTCATTGTTTGAAGCGCACTTCTCTGAAGCGCATGGCTTCACCCCTGAAGCGATAACTTGTTGCTTCACAAAACTTTATCGCTTTAAGCAACAAAGCGATGGCTTCTACTAACATTGTTTCTTGTTTTCTTCAAGTTCCAATTTTTTGTTATTTATCCTTGAAATATGCTTCTTTTTTTTAAGATTTTTTTTGGGTTTTCTTTAATTTTGTGCTGTTATGTGGTACTTTCTGCTCTCAATGCATGTTTCTTCACGTTAATTTTTTTTATTTTTGGTTCAATTTTATGTTCAGATCACTGTTATAAAAAGCGTGCGCTTCTCACTTAAAGCGCAGAAGCGACGCGAGGTGACGGCATAGCGTTTTTCTGCCTTCAAAGGCGACTCACATCAAAAAGCGCTCGCTTTACCCTAAAAAGCGAGAAGCGAGGCGATGGAAAAAGCGCAAAAAAGCGCGCTTAAGCGAGGGTAAGGCATCTGCTAGGGTTTTAAAAAAAAACTTCGCAAATACACTTACGCAAACACTCTGCTGCAAGCGACGACGGGTAAGTTTCTTCTCTTCTTCTCTTCTCTTCCTCTTCTGATTTTCTTCAGTTCACTGTTCGAGTTCGACTGCTTTTTCTCTTCTTCTTTCTATTTTTTTCAATTTTTATTGCTTTGTTCTTCTGCCCTAATTTATGCTCTGTTCTTCTGCCCTTATTTTGTGCTCTGTTCTTCTGTTCGACTACACTATTTTTTCAGTTTTTATTGCTCTGTTTTTGTTCTTTCCCTGTTTCTGGTTCGACTCTTAACTGTTTTGTTGGTTTTTTTTTTTTTTTTTTTTGGTTGTTGATTGTAGTAAATTCAATCTTATTATTCAATGGCATCAAACCAAAAAAGAGATCCAGCTTGGGCGTATCTAGTTTTAGTATCTATTATTTACTTCTTGATTTAAGAATTGAAACATTTGCTTAATATGTTATTTTTATTGAGTTCTTGGCCATTTATCTATGCCTATTTAATTTTTTTTATTTATGTGTTAAATTGCGCTTCACATGAAAAAAGCGCACGCTTCGCTTCGCGCTTCTCGCTTCGGTGAAGCGAGGCCTCCTTGCTTTTTTCCGCTTCTCGCTCTCCAAAACACTGGTTCAGATATAGGTTTTGCATTTTTTGAGAAGAAAAAGAAAATGCAAAACCTATTTCTGAACATAAAATTGACAAAAAAAAACAATAGGTTTTGCATTGAAAGTGTTAATATTCAGAAAAATGTTTCGTGGGTTTTGCTAATTTTGTGTGATTATGTGGCACTTTGTGTACTTGATGTTTTCTTCAATTTCCAATTCATTTGTTAATTTCTGTTACTTTGTCCGTTTAGCCTCGATTTTTTGCTTCTTATCAGAAAAGGTTGTGGAGTTTGGTTACTTTTGTGTGGTTTTATGGTATGTTTCATTTTTTTGTGTCTCGTGGCACTTTAATTTTTCTTAAGTTCTAATAAGGTGTAAATTCACAGGGTAATAAAACTGGAGATACGTCCCGTCCACTCTATATTTCTTACAAAATTTCAAAATTATAATTTAGGTCTTCTTCCAATCTAAACACGTTATGCATGTCGCAATGACTTAATTTAGTTGAAATCCAAAGATAACTTAAATTTGGTTGGCCTTCATCAGGAACATGGACATATCTTTTCATTTATCGAAGCCCAGTATTCATTATTTGATTGATAATTATTTGCTTTGACTCTTAATCTTAATTAAGAAGGTGGCATTCACGCTTTTTTAAAGCTGAAATTTAAACATAATATGTGGATAACTCAATAAGGTATCCAAGGACTTCTGAGTAGTATAATTTTATGTTTTACTAGGTTAGCTAGATAACATCTACAATCATTATTGTTTTATTTTAAACTAAATTATATTGCGGATCAGCGGACTCATGTCGCCCATACTCCAAGGGAGTGGCCTCATGTCGATTAGGCTCCGGGTGCTATGCCAGTGCAGCCCGTGAATGTGGATCGGTCTGAGCTCATTCCAGTGGCGTCACAGGAGGATCACAGGAGGATCAGAAGAGGTTAGAGAGGTTCAAGAAATATTTTCCTCCTACTTTCAGTGGCGCAGCTTCTGACGATGCACAGGGTTTTCTAGACCAGTGTCACCGTATCCTGCGCACTATTGGCATTTTGGAGTTGAGCGGGGTCGACCTTACCACTTTCCAGATGATAGGGCTTGCATATAGATGGTGGCCGGCTTATCAGAAGCGTAGGCCACCTGGCGCAGCGCCACTTCGGCTCAGTTCACTGATCTGTTTTTGAGGTAGTGAAGAAGAAAGAAAGAAACGAACCCTTTGACCAAGCAACAAAATAAGTATGAAATATTTGCCCTAAGAAGTAGCGACCATTTCATTTTATCCAAGTTTAAAAGCCGACTTAAAAAATAAAAATAAAAAGAAGCGAACGCTTTTATCGCTACACGTTTTAATTGATTCACGCTGCTTGGATAGAAACAGTCGCTTCTTCCACCGTGCTTCGCCTTAGCCCTTTGAAGCGCCCAACCCCCTCCTCCCTTCACGCTTAAAGTGATGAAGCCAGCGCTTTCCCCAACACTGACTTCAAGTGTATAGAAAGATTTTTGAGATTGTCCCTGAAGGCTCCTGCTTCACCATCAGCTTCATTATCAGTGTTGGAGTGCACATGGTCGCTAGGATGAAGTGGTGTAGTGTAATTGTTGGGAAGTTGTTGCGAGACCACAACTTGATTGATGGTGATTGCGGACGAAGCATTAGAGACTTGCTTATTTAGAGCAAGAACAGGCTTATATCCTCTAGCTTTCCATACTTAAAGAGGCGGGCTTTTTGGGCCTTTTGTTCTTTCTGCAAGCCTTCCGAGTTGGGCCTTCAGTATAATAGGCATTATCTGCAATAAGGTCCAATAAGATGTGGCCCTTATAACTCCCATTAAGCGAAGCAGGTCAGGTGTGTATCATTTTGGGTGTGGACTCTGCAAAATTTGAAATTAAAGGTAGACCTGGCCTATCCTCCCACTACAACGATTGGACGTTGCTTGTGTTGATTACCCCGATGGACTCTCGCCCTTGTACTAGCCAACAAAATCTTTTTCCATTTCTCCTACAGCGACTGTCGAAGCTTCAATTGGTTTCGGCATGGCAATGACATCTTTTATTATTGAGATTTCATACTTCCAATGTTCTACTTCAAGCTCAAACCTTTTTGGGCATTTGGTATCCGATCTGCTAATACAAATTCTTGCAAAAAGAAAATGGCTCTAGTATTCCCCATATACATCTATTCCTACGAATCCACCATGATGGTCGTTGAAATCATGCATGTGCCAAAAGCTTTGATAGTAAGTTTAGTGACTGTCACCTAAGACCACCGCTCTAATACTAGTCGCCCACCATTCCAGAACCAGTTTCCTACATTGACCCTAACAGCTTCTTGTCTCGATGCTAGTTCGAACAAGCATGGTGTGAGAGAAGGATTGACATTCACTCCAGCACAAATCTTCCGCCTCTCTTCCACTCGTTCAAAAAAACATTTTTGTATCAGTTGGGTATGGGGTACGGTTGAACGGATCACCAAATATACCAACTAGACATCTCGAGAGGAACTGTTGAACACCGTTGTCGGTCCGTGAGCTGACGTTCAACACATTATCAACTATCGAAGTTGGGTGATCCACCATCTCCGTCCAGTGAGAAATCATAGCTGTATCAGCATATAATCTCGTCTATGTGATATTGGTCCTTTTGAATCATAGCCGTATCAGCATATAATCTCGTCTATGTGATATTGGTCCTTTTGAATCATAGCCGCATCAGCATATAATCTCGTCTATGTGATATTGGTCATTTTGAATCAGCTTGTAGTAAGTTTGTCAAGAAAATGTAAAACTTGCAGCTACATCTCTCAATCCCCAGTTGTAATCTGGCTCCGGGATGATAACTTTGGATTCCTATCTCCCAGTCAGGCTTCAATTCGAGTGAATCGACCATAAATGTTATAGTTTAGACAGACTGTTTATACATATGTTTGCATCTTCCTCCCCCATCGTTTATAAAAGTCTATGTTCCTTTTGATGCTTGTTTGAGAGCATCACAGACCCACCGGAGGTTTTCCTCGTCTATCTTGAATTTGCAGGAAAACCTTCTACTTCTTTCAATTAAAAGAAACCACCTATCACCGGAGTCAACTAATTTGAAAGAGTTTTCACCTGAGAGGGAGATCTTGTCTTCTATGAGAACCAAAGTACGCTTGATAAGTTATCGGAAAAAATTCTCCCCGCCACATGTTTTGAAGAGAGAGAAATTCCGGGATCCTATCCCAAGTCGGAGAGAATTCCCAACACGTGGTTTCTTTTACATATTAAAAAGTTGCTCAAACAATAAAATGATCGTATGAGCATTACTATATTCTACCTATTTTAGAAGCATTCAGAGTGAGGTCATAAACATACAAATGAAAATATTTGATGGGCTTATGGAACAGCTTCCAATCTGCTCAAGCAAACTGCCAACCTCAACATGCCTCTCATCCCAGCCCAAATGATGGGGCCGCTTATCTTTCCTACTCTTTCTTATTCGTCATGGATAACAAAAGATAGGAATTTAGATATGACCAATAGATACCTAAGCTTCTGAGCACGCAAAACTAGTTAGAACCAACAATTTTAAGAAATTGTACTATCTGACAAGGAGATTTCACCGGTTACTCTCTATTACTCTCTGTGTCCTGGAGAAGGAGACAACACTAACTAGGAAAAGGGATGTTGAAGTAATGAAAGACCAGCAAGGATGAGGATAAGTATTGAAATTAATCAAAATATAAGAATGGAGACTGCTAGTATACCTTTTTGGCAGGTGTTCAATGCCCCATTCAAATATTCTGTAACTGCCAAATGTATCAGGGAGACGAACACGAGTTTCAGCCAACCGATGTATTATTTCCTGCAAACAGATATGATGAATAAACAAAACTTGTTCATGTCAAGCAATAATCTGCAAAGATTGTGGAAGTCAGAATCACCGTTGCAGCAGCATTTGACATATAATTTGCAGATCCTGCTGGAAAGATAGCCCATTTAACAAGGGAATCATTTCCTTTCGTTGAGAAGTTCATTAAGTGAACCTGCAAGGTATCTCACAATATGTAGAGCAGCATCACATAGGATAAGTTAAAACACAAGAGCAGTTAAGTAACATGAACAAAACTGAAGCGTTCAGCTTAAGATGAGATATAATCAGACAAATTTGGGTTTGGCCAAAATTATCGTTCTAAAACCAAAGTACCTGTGAGATGTTAACGTCCAACTCTTGGGCAATGAGATGGGTAAGCTCTGTAATGCGAGGCTTCAAGTCCGAGTAATTCACACTCAATGACATATAAAATGTAATGAATCCAACTTTAATTTCCCCTGCAAATTGAGATATATGATGAATACGCAATGGAAACAACAAACTATAATTGCCAATATATAGGCACTAGATGCTTTAACACGAGAGAAAAGCTGTAATTAACAGAGTAAGTGCCTAATTTTCAAAACTATCATGTCATTTCATAAACTTCACATTACAAAAGAAGTCAAAAGAGACACCTGTCTCATAAATAATCAAGAATTTGATCAAGATCCTAGTGCAGATATCACCTAGTGAAGGGAATTCGTCAATATCAGCTAGTCCAGGAATTTAAATGGTTGGCAAAAAGGTTGATACATGTCCGATTGGTGGCAATTGATATTCCTTGAAATCGTTAGTCCCCTCAAGAAGTCCCGCTTTAACCAGAGCTGTTTTCCAGTTCAATAATGTTAACAACGTCATGACATTATAATATTTCTTATGCCTGAAGGTGGTTCTCAGTAAGTTGGATGCTAGATCACAAGACAATTATCTCGGTGAAAGAATATGCAAACTCATGGTCAAATGTCAACATATATGCTGACATTGGTCAACAACAGAAAATTACAGAGCTAACATGTACAACAGCACTAGAGCTACAACCAAAATGTTGTGATTCAAAGTTGATTCAACATTTTCACAAAAAAAACCAGAAACCAAAATGGATTAAAATGGAGGGGAAACGTAATAAGGCTTCAAATGGATTAATTTTTAGAAAAAAAGATCAAGAACTCCCTAGTAGAAAAACAAAAGCTACGATTGACGGGCATCTTAAAGGATGGTTAAAGATGGTAGTATACTATACCAGGTGCATTATACCCAGTAGAAAAACAAAAGCTACGATTGACGGGCATCTTAAAGGATGGTTAAAGATAGTATACTATACCAGGTGCATTATACCCAGGAGATCCACTAGGAACCAGTGTAGGGGCCATACTTCCTGTGGAGTTTGTGTTATCCAAGCCAGAGGGCAATGTTGGAGGTGGAGGAGATGAATTAAGTCTGCCCCATAATTCGGAACAGTTGGTTTTCCAGAAACCGATCGTTTCATGCTCACGATCATAAGTGACAAGTGTGTTGCGGACAATAATCCCTGTGCAGTTAAAGCATGCATGTGACAACACGTACAACCAGGAATAGCTTGGAAAATAGTCCTTCCACAATGCTAACAGATTTTAAAAAAGAAATACCTCCAAGAAGAGTAGTTGCATCCTTCCCATTCTGAAAAATCCCCAGACAATAAGCACCACGCTCCTTTGAATGCTTCATATCACAGAACATCGAGTGACGAAATGGGGGAAATCAGTCAATACAAAAACATTCAAAAGAAAGTGGAATCATTAGAAGACCAAAACCAGAAGAGGTTTGGGGGGGGGGGTAGGGGGGGGTTTATAAATTCATTACGTCAAAGG